GTATTAGAAAGTCTCATGTTTCAGTGAGTGTGGTGGGGCTCTGATGGACAAGGATGAGCAATGTCCCCGTAGGGAGGCTGGAAAGGATGAGGGGCCAAGGCAGAGACATTCACCCCCCTCCCCCACCCCCCTACACACACCGTGGGCAACAACTGCCTGTTCTTAATTCATACTCTTTTCTAACAAAAAGGTGCCTGGCTGTCAAACAGTCCCAGTGCCCCTAGTTTCTCCCCTAGACTGAGTTACTTTTCTAAAATGCAAATCTTTCAAGTATTTGACAGACATTGCTCAATAATATTTACTGAACATATTAAAGTGAGTTCTCTGTTTCAGTTCCTTGGCCTGAAAAGGCTTATGGGGCCCATTTGGGGACTCCAAGGTGAAGGTTGCTGCCTATGTGGACAGGAAAGAGCCAGAAGGATTCACGTTTCATCCAGCGCCCCTGGGCCCCTGCCCTATGAGCATGCGCACTGTCCACAAGACGCTCTGAGGTGACCTTCCCCCTCCTCTCCTCTGCTCACTATGGAAACCAATGCCAGGACAGGGCTCTCCTCCTATCCTGGATTCTGCCAAGAACAGCCTATTCCACAGCTGTGTAATCTGTTCCACATTACAGAGTTTGAAGTAACGCACCAGGAAAACTGTCTACTCCAGAATATTTTAAGTTATAACTTCTTCACATACTTTTTGCATCTCTTTCTTAAGCTCTTCCAGGAACTATTATTGGGATCTGTTTACTTTTGCTTCTAAACTTCTTATTTCCCATATCCAACAGTTCTCAACCCCAGAGATACTCAGAAAATCTAATTTATTCCCAGTACTCTTGGGGCATCAATAGATTTCCAGCCCCAAATGTCTCCCCTTGGATTAAAGCCGATGTGTATTCCACACAAGGACTGACTTCCTTTTCTTTCCCATGTTGTTATCCATCCTTTTCCTTACTGTGCTGAAGGTGCACCACTCTGTTAAGTTAAACATGAGTGTTTAGCTTAATAGCATGATATTAGGTAGCTATTAAACTACTGAATCTCTTATATGGCACATGTGTAATCATGCTTTCTCATTTAAAGCCATCCTAAGCTTTATTTTGTCTGATTACTCCATCACTTGAGCACCCTTCTCAATTTTCTTTTTGGTAACAGATTGAGCCTCTTCAGGAGGAATTTCCCTGGAAGATGTCATTGCTTTGGTTTGTCCACATCTGGGCTCCAAGGGTGAGTGCCACCACAATTTACACTGTGCTTGATTTCACAGCTGAGCATCACTCCTCAGTGTGGTCTCAATCCTTCTGGTCAGATTTTGAGGTGTGACTTGAGCTGCAGTAGAGGTGCTATCTGCCATCCTGCTGTCAACCTCACCAGAATGAACTCCAGGTAGGAACTCAATTATGCAATGCAGCCCAGACAGCAACTGAAGCCAAAGTAGCTCTCTGGCCAGACCTCTGATATCCCACCTCAGCACAAGCCAACTTTTACAATTGTCTCCTTGCTTATGACATGTTTTCATGAATCCATTAAATCAAGGAGGGTTAAATGTAAGGTTGTAAATTTTTCATGGTTCTGGGGCCTTGCATAGACTGGGCTCAGGATCCAATCTTAAAAATCTCACAATTTCAAAAAGTGTAGCACATACGCAAGGCTGACCTGAGATTTAGATAATAGTTTTAAGCATTTTCATTAAATGCATTAAATGAAACAAATATCTCCTTGCACAGGGACCATGATAATCTCTGTATCATTCCTTTTTTTTTTTTTAAGTACTGTGCTGCCGGAGCAAGCATCTTGATATCTCATATGAAGAGTTAAAAAAGAATATACATCCAAAAGAAATAAAGAAGAAAAAATGATGGGATAAAAAAATCTAAGAAATGAGGATTATACTTAAGAACCATGAGGACAGTAAGAGGCATTCTTTTAAAAGGGAATATAATTGGCACACTTCCGTAAAATATACTCAAAGTAGTAGAAATTAATAAATTGAAGAAGGAGAAGGAAAATGGGAAAGAGAAGGAAGAAGAAGAAAGGAAAGAAAGGAGGAGCAGTAAGGCACGGAAATAAATCCAAACAGAGGAAAATGTAAGGACTGGGAATATAGCTCAGTGGAGAATGGAGAGTGCTTGCCTCACATGCACAAGGTCCCTGGGTTCATCCCCAAGGGGGAGGCAGTGGAGGGGAGAGAGAAGTACAGAGAAACATCTGAAGAAATATAGGAATTATCTTGGTGACATGGGAAACTAAGCAGTCCTCTTGGAGAGCTGCTGTGGGTCATGCATATGAACTCAAACAGTAAACCAGTACAAACAACACTTCAAAAGATAAGAAAGGGGATAGAAATTGAGCATCTCTAATCTAAAAAATCTGAAATCCTAAATGCTCTAAAATTTGAATGTTTTTGAGCATTCACATGACACCATAAATATCATCTGTGGTGTGGGTCATGATTAAGATGTGAGTGCACTGAAAATATTGTATGATGTTACTTTTAGGTTATATATAAGGTGTATACAAAATATAAATTAATGTCATATTTTGACTTGGGTCCCATCACATATCATTATGCAAAAATTACAAAATCTGAAAAAAAGTGAAACACTTCTGGTCCCAAGCATTTTGGATAAGGTGTACTCACCTTCTACATAATCAAGTAAGTTGAGGATTCTAGAAATGTCAAGATAGTATTTAAATATGTTTTCTGTTTCAAATGACAAAAATAACATTCAAGATAGCATACTTAAAAATCTGTGAGCCAGGCATTGTGGTGCATGTCTATAATCCCAACAACTCAGGAGGCTGAGGCAGGAAGATCATGAGTTCAAGATAAGACCCCAACTCAAAGCAAAAGAGCAAAAAAAACCAAAGAAGCTGTTTGCTCGAGGAAACCCAAGAAGGGCTAAAGAATGATGTCAACTCAGATCAGTAATGCTGGTCATTCTCAGAAACTTTGATTCTGGAGGCTGTAACAATGATTCAGTTTTTTTCATGGGTGGTGTGTAGCATTATCTGTTTTGGATTTTCTCACTGGAGATCTATTTGTTTCCATACTCAGGAAACACGGTCACCAGTATGCTGTGTCTCATAACCTTGGTTGTCCAAGACTGCTAGATTATATCTATGAACCCAATTCACAAATCTTGGGAGTGATTTGGGAGTACTCACAACATGGGATAAGTCATTGACTGGCAAAGAGAATCCTATGAGAAGGAAGTTTCCATGTGAACAAAAACTAGATGTAGCACAGTAATCAGAGAAAGGAGGACCCTGGGCAAATAGGAAGAAAAGACATTATGACAAAAGTTATGCTAATAAATTTGGTAATGTTTATCTTATGGAATATTAATGGAAAAATTTAAATGACATCAAAGTGACCCAAGAGAAGTAAAAAAATAAAATACATAAATATTGAAATAATGATGAATTAACCTAAGTGTTTATAGATGGATGAATGGATAAAGAAAATGTGGCTAGATGTGGTGGAACATGCTTGTAATCCCAAGTACTTGGGAGTAGGAGAAAGGAGGACTGGGAGTTCAAGGCCAGGTCAGGCAAAATTCATAAGACCCTATCTCAAATAAAAAATAAAAATTCAAGGGCTGAGGGGATCGCTGAAGTAGTAGAGCATTTGTCTAGCAAGTGTGATACCCTGGGTTCACTCCTCAGTAACACAAAAATGTGCTATATGTAACTCATGGAATATTATTAAGCCATGACAAAGAATGAAAATCTATCATTTATGGAAGAATGGATGCACCTGGAGAACATCATAGTAAGTGAAAAAAAACATAGAAAGACAGATAATACATGATCTTCCCAATACATGAAAAATATGTAAGTTGATCTTATAGAACTAGAGAGTTGAATTGTGGCTACCGGAGACTGGTAAGAGTAATGGGGAGGATGACTAAAGAGACATTGCTTATCAGATACAAAATTACAATTCAATAGGAGGAGTAAATTCCATTGTTCCATACCACTGTAGGGTGACTATTATAGTAATAATTTGTTTGTTGTACTTTATAACAGATAGGAGAAAGGATTTTGAATATTCCTCACACAAAAAAAGATAAACGATTGAGGTGATGGATATGCTAATTGTCCAAATTTGATCATTATACATTGTACAGTGTAAATATGTATAAATATTATGTGTTGATTTTTTTTAAAAAATGCATTAGTGATGCTATAATTATGACTATTAATGCCAAAAAAATTCTAGATTACATAGGTCAATGTGACAACATGCATCAATCTTCCTTATAAACACTCAGACTTGGTAAGGACGGATTCCATCAGTCTTTATTGCTATTTCTCAACATTCAAATCTCAGACATTCCTGGGGTTAACTCATTTTCTTTCTTCTTTTTATTCTTGTGCTAGATAGGGGTACACTGTGGCATTTACAAAAGTTCTTACAATGTATCAGATATATCCTATTTGACCTCACCCCTCCCCACCTCTCTCTTTTATCCTTCCCCCAACTCATTTTCTTAGACAATCCCAACTCTTTTTCTCTCACTCACTCATAGGAAACCCAAAGTCACATATCCAACCTGTACCTTTCTTTGGATCTTTCACACCTAACTTGATTCTGAATATACATTCCGAAGTGATCACTTCTCAACTAGAGTTCCCCACGTCCAACTTGAAACTTGTGTTACCATCTTTCTCCTTAAACTTGCCCTTCCTCAGTAGTTATCCATCTCCCCCCACCCCCAAGATCTCCTAGGTCCAGAAAGGAAACTTGGAAATCGGTCTTCTTTAGCCCAGCTGCAGACTGGTTCAGAGACCCTCCCACCAGGGTCTGCACCCCTCAGCTCCCCTCCCCTCTTCTCTCCCCTCCCCTCCTCTCCTCCTCTCCCCTCCTCTCCTCCTCTCCCCTCCTCTCCAGACAAGCGGCCCGCGGACGCGCATGCGCAGTGAGCCGTGCGCCGCGGCGCGCCCCGCCTCGCCCTTCGCTGCGGAAGGCGCCGCGCTCAGCAACGCGCACTTCCTCTCCAGGAGTCCGCGGAGGGAGCGCAGGATCCAGGAGCTTCAAGACCCAGAGAGGCCCTGCCCTTGTCAGACGGCGTAGACATGTCGGAGCAAAGTAAGGACATGAGCGACCCTAACTTTGCAGCCGAAGCCCCCAGCTCCGAGGTGCAAAGCAACCCTGGGGTTCCGGTGGGGGTCCTTTCCCCCGCCTCTCCGGCCGCGACCCCTGCAGGGCCACCAAGCCCTCCTGTAGGCCTTTCGGCCTTCCCTCAGGCCATGCCACCTCACCAGGACCTGAGCGATGAGGACCCAAAGGCCCTGCAGCAGGCAGTGGAGGAGAGCCGCGCCCACCAGGCCCCGAGTCCACCCCTGCCATGTCCAGCGCCGCCCGCCCCGGCCCAGCTGGTGCAGAAGGCGCACGAGCTCATGTGGTACGTGCTGGTCAAGGACCAGAAGAGGAATGATCATCTGGTTTCCAGACATGGTGAAGGATGTCATCGGCAGCTACAAGAAATGGTGCAGAAGCATCCTCAGGCGCACCAGCCTCATCCTCGCCAGAGTTTTCGGGTTGCATCTGAGGCTGACCAGCCTCCATACGATGGAGTTTGCGCTGGTCAAAGCACTCAGCCCTGAGGACCTGGACAGGGTGGCCCTGAACAACCGCATGCCCATGACAGGCGTCCTGCTCATGATCCTAAGTCTCATTTACGTGAAGGGCCGTGGTGCCAGAGAGAGCGCAGTCTGGAACGTGCTGCGCATCCTGGGGCTGCGGCCCTGGAAGAAGCACTCCACCTTCGGCGATGTGAGAAAGCTCATCACCGAGGAGTTCGTCCAGCAGGATTACCTGAAGTATCAGCGCGTCCCCTACGTGGAGCCCCCTGAATATGAGTTCTTCTGGGGCTCCCGAGCAAGCCGTGAAATCACCAAGATGCAGATCATGGAGTTCCTGGCCAGGGTCTTTAAGAAAGACCCTCAGGCCTGGCCTTCCAGATACAGAGAAGCTCTGGAGGAGGCCAGAGCCCTGCGGGAGGCGAATCCCGCTTCCCACTGCCCGCGCAACAGTGTCTCTGAGGACTAGCTAGGTCTGGAGGCAGATCAATGGTTTCTGACCCTCACCAGGGCTGTGGAAGGGTGGGGCTGGATCATTTAGAGTATTCAGGATTTACAGTGCAGTATTTCACGTGTAACTCTTAAGTTTTCAGTACAGTGCTTTTATACCTCTTGATGCAATGTTGTATGCGTCTGGGTACTCGAGTAGTGCTTAGGATTTATCGCATGTATGTTTCTGAGTAAGCTCGGCTGGTGCTTTTGCTTTTGTGCTATATCTTTCATGGATTTTTGTACCAGACACATGCTAAACTTATGAAATCCATTGAGAAATTTTCCATCTTATTCTTTTATATGGGACCGATGATGTGTATTGGGGGTAAGCTGCTCCTGGAGAGTTTGGAAGGACTCACCAGCAAAGTTGGCCTGACCAAGAGAACTTTACTGGGAACAGGAAATGTCCCTCTGGAATGAACTGATTTGAACTGGAATGTTCTGGAATGAACTGATTTGAACTGAAACGGTCTCAATGTGGCACTTGGCACACTTTACTAAATACATATAAAACCCCACCATGAATAAAGTTAAGTAAAGATTAAAGATTGTTGTGATAGAATTACTTTTGAAAAGGTGTACTTAATATTGTTAATGAAATAGGGGGGTGGGAATGAGGTCGAATTCTACATTTTTTTTTCTTTTATTATTCATATGTGCATACAAGGCTTGGGAATTCTACATTTTAAAATCTGTACAAATATTAAAACTTTCACCTAACAGGATGGGGAAATCACTAGTATGAACACTTATAAATAGGTAAAGTTTACAACTTTATTTTAAAATGTAATTTGTGTTCATATCAAAAACTTTGACACATAGGGACAAAGTGTAAAAACAAACAAATATGTCCCATCATCACATAGAAATAACTACTGGTACTCACAGAGTAGCTTACTTACCTTCACTTTCTAAATTAGTAGCTGTATTTTGTGGGCACTCACATGAGCGCTCATGCTCCTCCCCCCACAAGAAGCATAAGAATTTATTTTTCAGGTCATTTGCTTTTCTAATCCTAAAAGTACAAATGGGAAACCTAGTCTCCATTGACCTAATGAAGTCATATTCCTGCTTCAGGGTGAAGTCAAGATTGGAAACAAACTCTTGCCTGTGGGTTGGAGATGGAGCCTTCTCTAACAAGGGGTGCCACAAGAATACACATGACACGTGGGAGATGGAGTTGAGATTGGGAGGTTGTCTGTTGGGAACTTTGTGACCCAGCAGTGCTTGACTTGCATCAGGTTACTAGGTAACCCTTAAGGGTGTGGGATAGGGTGAGGGTGGAGGTGAGGGGCAAATGACTGGAGAGAAATCTCATTATGAAGTTTTCAGTTCTGTGAAGAAGGGGGAGAGAAGGGGCTTTAATAAAACCAGAAATTCTTTAAATTACAAGAGAGGGAAAAGCCCATTTGACCAAAGCTAGACTCTTTTCTGGGAAAGGTGAATAGCAGGGGGATATACCCAAAAGAAGTAAACTGGGAGTCCCATTTGGGTGAGGGAAATATAATCAATGGGTTGCAATCTGGAATTAGGAACACTTGTGTTACTTAGCAGGTGGGCGTGAGTGCTGAAAATGCTTAAGAAGCCCCAGTGTGCTGAAATGAAATCCAGCCGGTTTAGTTGTGACCTGTGAAATCCTTCACAGGAAGGGAGCTTTTCTGCAGCAACCCAGGTAGGGTAACCTGGCCTTGAGGGCACCTCTTACTCAGAACCAATGTGACTGTTGAAACCTGTTTAGAAATTATAGGATTTTAAGAAATCTTACCTCTCCCCAGCTCACCCCAAAACAAAGTAAATCTGACCCTTTTCATTTAAAATTATGGGGGCTATTTGAGATGTTCCATTTCTGGGAGAGGGCTACAGATGTCATTCATGCTACAGGGCCATAGCTGTCATTCCTGCCATGTCATGGTACTGGTTATTTTTGCCAGGGTACTAATACTTTCCTCACTGTTGGACTGACCTTTTACAGCAAGTGTAAACCCCATGCACCTCTTGCTGTCACACCCAGAAATCACTGGAGGCCTCTTGCCTCCTCACTTGACTTCCTTTGCTTATCACCAACTTCCTCTCTGCTGTGAGAGGCCTGGAGATTCACCTTCTGCAAATCAGTAACCCTTTGCCACAGGACTGTGAGAAATGAGGAGCTGACCCTTGCCAGGCACACGAGTATGGAGTCATCTAGACATAGAGGAGGCTTCACAGCTGTGTGATGAGTTTAATTCATGACACCTGGTCATGCAGAGACATGCTGTGCATGGGGAGGGAGTACTCAGCAGCTCTCAGATTTTCATGTGTAGCTCTGCATTAAAAGGTTGGAGAGTTTGCCATATATTCTGCAAAAGGTTTGTCTAAAATGTATTGTGACAATTCATTCAGGAATGGGTCAGTGGATCTAAGCATACTATTTCAGGATAGCAGTGTGTTGATGCTCAGATTGTCATGGCTGGAAGTTTCCCCTAATTCTTTATATGTAGCTTTTTGCCTAACAAGCACAATCTCCTTTCTTTACTAATAAGTATACACACATTTCACTTTGATTAACTTCATTTTTTAAAAGTTATGTAGGGAAAAAAGGCCTTTGGAAATGTAACATTCATTATGATTTCATCTACTTTAAGCTGTCCTGAGAAGAAATAAGTAATTTTAAGTAGATAGGAAAGACATATTCTAAACGAGCTGATGCAGTTAAATCTTTCCTCTGCTGATATTCTCTGCCCTACTTCACCTTGAGTCTTACTTACCTGATCAACTCAGGAATGCTTTTTTGGGAGTTTCCTCTGTTAGCCTTGAAGGCACAGCCATGCTCTAAATTTCTAACCCAATATGCACACACTGTTTATAAGTAAGTGCATTTTGTGACTGTCTTCCTGGATTGTTAGATAACTAAGGTTAGGAATTCTAACTGGCTTGTTCACTATTTCCCTGATGCTTTTGTACTTAGGGACTAGCATGTGGATATGCTTGGTAAGCATTTTTTATTCAAGTTAACAGACTCAAAATATTAGAAAATACCTTAACCTCCACACAGAAAAACAAAACCAAGTATAGCAAACAACAATCAACCAACCCAAATTTAAGAAAATATAGATAAAAGTGGTGAAAGAAAAAAAAGAATGAAGAAATATGATGGAAACAGAAAATTGTTTCAAGAGTCAGTTCTTTGAATATTCCAAGAAAATGAGCCCGTATCTAGTAAGTTTTTTTTTTAAATGAACAGTACAAATAAACAACTTCTCACTAGCTACATGGGCCAATGACAAAAATAGGTCAGCACTCCAAAAGTAAACATAAGTGTCAATGGAGAAAATGAAAAGGATAAAGAATCCAAATTCACTTTTTGAATTAAGAGAGTTCCATACAATAATTAATCAAGGGTACAATAAAAGTGAATAGACGGTGCTACAAGAGTCAATTGAAATTGGCATTCTTGCACCCTGGTCTAGTTGTAAGAACAAAGACATGCTGCCTCATGCTCTCGTTTGGAATGTGCATTGGACACCTTGTTTGTTGCAGATGGAGTGCTGGGAGTGAGAGATGCAAGAAGAAACAGATAGACTTCATTGTGCCTGTGGTCACAGAGCATTCATAATATTGAAAGAATATTTAGTGAATAAGGATAATTGTCCTTTACTGCAGTGAGTGCCACCCTAAGCGAAGTATGAGGATAAAGAGGCACAAACAGGTGCACACAACGCAGACTTTCCAAAAGAAATGTTGTATAAATTGGTGTCTATAGGATGAAAAGCAATTAACAGCATGAAAGCCATGTAGGGAAGAGTAGACTTGGCAGGAGGGCTTCTTTGTGTCTGGGGAACTGCTGTGTGAATAGACACAGAAGAATATGAGACCAAAGATTTTCTAGAAATACTGAAAACAGGAGTTTGAAAATAAATTTTTAATTGGAAGGTCTCAAACATCCTTTCTTATCTCTTAATTTGCCCCATTATTCTTTGTTTCACCTTCCAAAGGCTGGAAGCCCATAAATATATTACAGGTTTTCCTATATCTGAATAGTGCTTTGTGCTTCCTTATTTGTCCACTGATGTAATATAAAAATATCTTACAGGTTTGTTACTTGAGTCATAAATTTATTTTATATATTTATTTAGCAGAGATTTATTGAACTTTGACTATATGGCTACCTTGTACTAGAGCCTTATAGATATTGACAAATTAAACAAAGATGGCCTCAAGCAGTGTATGGTATTTCTCCTTATATGCTACCCATTCATTAGTCACTTAATAGCTGTCTTGATTATTAGATCAACTGTCCACATATTATAGTGCTTGTGTCCAAGTAATCCTTGTTTTACTCAATAATGGCCACAGAGCAAAGAGCAGTGCAATCCTATTCCATTATATAGTTACAATTGTTCCATTTCATTATTTTGGACTTAGTTGGGGAATAGATAATGAAGTAAGAGGTTTGAGGAATGGATTCTGACTCTCAGGTCTAAGCCATGAGCATAGGTGAAAGGACAAATAGGAGAGAGGGAGAAATAACAAGTTTTGGGTAAAAACTACAAAGAGTTTACTATATAAAGAGTCTATGAAACATTCTAACAGATATGAAGTAGACAATACTTAACTCAAGGGGAAGAAACATAGCTCTGCAGTGGAGCAATTCCTTTATCCAGAGAGAAAGTATAAAGAGTAAAGAGAAATTCTCCATGATTGTATTCTGGGAAACTGAAACATTTCCATGTAAAGGAAAGACTGGCAAGGTGACTACAGAGAGTACTGATGAGAGATAGAAAAGTAAGCCAAGAATGTGCTGGAACATGGAGATGGAAATAGCACTGTGAGCCAGAGGAAGTGACCAAGTATTTCAGATGCTATTGAAGTATCATAAGCATTTGGGAGGGATTTTTTTTTTAATTTGGTAGAGTTATTACTGATTAGAGAACGGATTAAGTTCAGAGGCATACTGTGTGCTTAACACTATTTCAGGTGAGAGTTAATGGTGTCCTTCACCAGGAAATGAGTAACAAAGATGAAGGTTA